AGCGATGGACAATACTTCAAATAAAACATTAGGTTCCGTTCTTTCACAATAAATGCCCAATTTTTGATAAAAAACGGCGGAAACTTATTTGTACACCTAATATAATTTTCAGCTTTTGGTTCTTTTTTATACGAAAATTATTTAAGTTATAAAACAATCATGCAATAATTATAAAAAAATTTATTTATAAACATTTTTTAATACATATAAACAAAATTTTTGAAAATAATTTATAAATGTTAATTTATTTTTATTTTATTAACATATTTACTCTAATTATATAACTTAACTTTGCCATAATTTTAGATATTTTTTATCTTGTAATAGATTTCAATAAAAAAGGAAAAATATATTTTTTTACAGCTTTTTCAATCATTTTTCATCATATTCTATCCATACAAACTTGAATTGTTTGTTATTTTCAAAATTTGGATCAGCGACACAAAATAATCCTTTTTTTTCTGCAGCCAGCATTTGTAAATTGATTTGTCCTTTACACTTTTCACTTATTTGTCCTTTTGGTAAATAATTTTCAATAGTTTTTTCTGAGCTGGGACATTTTATTTCCAAAATAAAACCACAACCAATTCCATCCGGTGAAGCTCCTAGTATAGGTAGTGATGAAATTAATAATAAGCCACTTTTTTCAATTTTTAGTTTTAATTCTTTTTCGATCTCAGCAATAATTAATTTTTCTAATCTTCTTCCACGTTCCATGTGAATGTTATCGTATACTTTAGCTGCTCCAATAATGCGATGTATTAAACTACCTTCTGCTGTATGACATCGACTACCCAGTGAGCATTATTGAGAGGATGAGCTCTTTAAGAGGACTTTTTAAAGACTTAATTAAATTTAAATATATACTTGTACTTACAAAGCTGCTTTTATTCCTCGAACTTCTGGGGCATTGTATCGCTCATCACTTACAATATACTCCCAAACCATAAATATACTTATTTTCGGCAAATTCGTTAAATCTGCTTTAACGAATCCTGGATCCAATTGATTTGGCATTTTATTTTTATTTTAATTAACACAGATATTAACGTTAAATTCAACAACGACCGTAGTATCGCAATGATAAAACACTAAGCAGACGGTTGAAACTATTGCAATGTGACGTCACACACTTGTCAACCAATCAAAATCGTTTTCTTACAGCACAAAAAATTTCAAATATTATTAAATTTCCATTTAATTTTTTAACATCTATTAATAAAAATTAAAAATTTTGTTGTAAGTAAATTTATAATAATGTATATTTAATTACAAAAATAAAAAAATGTAATATTTTTTTTCATGCAAATTCCCTATTAAAATACTTTTTTTTATAAAGGCAATTAATTGAAGACAGGATATTGAAAATAATATATTTATAGCTGCTATTGAGACTTATTATAGAACATACATTAATTTATTCATAAATATTTCATATTGGTATATATCTGTACATATGCGCATAAGTAAACATAAAATTTATAAAAAGTGGGCGCCCATTAGTCTTGTTGCATTACTGCTTTCTGCTACGAGAGGCCAGAAAGCATTTTCAGGCCATATCTCGGCCGTAAAGCGATACGCTAGAGGGACAAGGATAGCGTGATCGTTGATACTTTTCTATCTTTCCTCTCCACGGTGCGTCCACGCGAGCAATGCAATCGTGTGTGTACGTATACGGACATACACCTCTACATAGAGATCGAGAATTTATTAATATTAATATTAATTTTTTTATTAATATTAATTTTTCTCAGATTGGTAACCCTGAAGTCGGAGTTTTGCATTGTCACCGCGCGAGGTATCCAATATCAATTCGGAGTTTGGCCGTCACTCCTGCTGACTCTTAATCAATTTCATTAATTGCTTATTGTTCTAGTTCCATATGATTATTTAACCTAGAAATTAAATATATTTTAGTTTTTTTAATAGTAATAATCATTTGCGCAAGGAATTGAAGATTCCTTGGATCGACCAATCAGAAGGCTTTATTTAGAACTAGGTAGTTGCGCAGTAGTAATTTTCTAGAACTGACTTACTTTAAGAACAGGCTCGCAAGCGAACTTTAACATAATCAGCGATATTAATACATAACTTTAAGATTTTAATTAATTATACAGATGGTTCTATAATAAGTATTTTTGCATAAACGCGAAGAACATGGTTAAAATAAATAAAATAAGAGAACGTGCGCACCACTCTTTATGGAATTGTAAAATTCATACAATAATAATTTGTTAAAAACATTTTTCTTACATTCTTTACGAGTCATTATAAAACTTTCAATATTATCTAAATTTTGTTTGAAAAATAAAGATCAATAATTTGATAACTTCATGATAACTAATCAAAAACAAATTATTATAAAACGTTTCCATAAAGGAATCGTTACTGTGAACTAATATGCTTTGTAGTAGCATTAGCCATGCGATTGCGAATAGTATGTAGATTTAAGAAACCTACATTTATGGAATCATGGATTACACAGTACATGTATAACAATTATTCGCAATAACTCCTTTTAGTTATGGAATACTAAAACTCGATAATTTCCAAATTAACTGCCAGACTTGAAACAATTTAACAAGTGATTCCATAAATTAATATTCATAAGTATTAACATAGCTTTTTCGTATTATCCTATAGCTTTTCCATATTATCCTATAGCTTTTTCATATTATACTATAGCTCTAATATTGTCAAACTATCCGAGATGAAAGGAAAGCGTATAGAAGATGCATCCGAGACACCTGATACAGCGAGCGATAAACAGGTGCGTAGATCCGCGGCGGCTCCGAGTGATCCGCGACATAGACGCCAAGACATAAACAATCGATAAGTATTTACCACCAATCAATAGGCAACTCTTAGAAATAGTTTCATCATAGATTTCCGTAGAAGACCTTCATCTTAATGAATTTCTAGAACGCAAACTAAATTCCCAGAAAGATCTGCACACGACTCGCAACACCTTTGATTCTCAATAGTATATAAGCTGCAGATTTTTACCCTCAGCAGCAGTCCGGCAGATCATCTCAATCCGTAACCGTGTCTCTATCATCTTCATTATATCGTCAATCTCGCATTAGATTCATGAGCTCAAGTTGTGTAAAGTCCGGAATAAAAGACTTTGAGCATATATCTGCGTACATCAATCAAGCCTATCTCATCCACGACCGAGGTCTTTGCAGATGGAAAGGAAAGGCTTAAAACAAGTACAAAGGACATTGAGTTAAAGAAGGATTCCTTACTGCAATACAGTAAGTAGTACCCGCAGTTACTAATACCCCGTATATTCTCAAACAAAGGAAATTTTACTTCGGAGTCTACAATTGATTGACAGCCCATTAATTTCATTCCAAGTTATTATTTTAATTCCTATTTTAGCATTTTGAATGTTTTGCGACATTCTCTTACATCCTTTTTAATAATAAAAGAAACTCCTGTCAAGCATTGGCATGTTGCTGACAGTTTTCTAGTTAGTCAACTTTAATAATCCACAATCATAAATTTATTTTCCTGCACTTATTTGAAACATTCCTATTATTATTATTATATCAATGCTGGACAAATTTATATTTTGCTTAGAATTTATACTGCTGTTGTCATTCGGACGTGGTCCAACCTTTGAAACCCGGTTGCCGTGGGTTTATTGCACCGGTGACACTTTACCCTTTCTCCTAAATTTCCATCGTTATCGAGCATCGAAGTATGCCCTATATCGGCACCCTTTCATCATCACCCTATACAATTCCATCGTCTGTCGAACACATATTGTGCCTACCCTGCCGAAAATGGTCGATTAAAACGGATTTAAAAAAATGTAATCCGAATCGATCGGGATTTTTGCACCGAAAATGCGGTATTAAAACCGGTTGAAAATAGTCAAATCGAATTTAGTACGCTTCAGGCGAATTAATGTTGGGTGATATACATTCACCTCAATCCAAAATTATACGATTTCATAAGTTATAATTAAACCTGTTTTAATGCAATTGAATTGGAAATTACCATAGTCAATCCATAGGTAAAAATAATCCCTTTTAATAAAAAATTTTATTTCGCAAATGAAAAGTAAATTGATTTTATGTAGTGTGAAGTCGGATTTGCTGTTATCATGAGTCACAATCAATTATTGAATCGGTGTTTCTACAATTGAAACGGACTCAGTTGTTAAAAACAAATATACGATTTCTCCGCAGAGGGTCCGCCTTATATCCCCGTTTGACCGCTTTCTACTTCCAGGTTGGCTCGCTCGACCTTCGCCGCGTAGCGGCGCCGCCCGGAACTACGCGCAGACACGCGAGTGCGTGTCCGCCAAGTTGCGGGTCGCACTATTGTATCGCGGATTGTGCTTAATGTGACCTGCGGCAGCCACAATATCCATTTGATTATTCGTGTTTATTTGGATTGACAACAATATGGATTAGAATGTAATGATTTTAGATTGGAAATAATCCGCGAAAGCGATATTAAAATCGATTATAGTTCGTTCGGAATTAAAATCGATTACTTTTTAATCCGAGCGCGGATTGAACCGATTAAAACCGATTAAAACCGATTAAAACGGATTATGTTTTAATCGGTTTTAATCGACCATTTTCGGCAGGGAACGTTGTCGAGATCACATGAGTCGAGTTCACGCTTGTTTTTACTTCATTAAATCGCTCCTAGACATAATGTTAAAATCTAAAAAAAAAAATAGTTTTAAGAATATATTTCATACAAAATTTTATACTTTAAATGATAAATTGTATAATGCTTACCGTCCACACAGAATATGATTATTTATAAAATTTCATTAATTATTTTCAATTTTTGACTAAAGATTTACAAAATCCATTTTTTTCCAAATTATTGAATTTAGAAAGCAAAGATATGTTTGAGCTCATTGATGATAATCTATTTTTGGATACTCAAGGAGATCAACCATTCTCCATATGATATGTTGCACCTTCTTCATTCTAAAAAGAGATCGCATAACAATTAATGAAAAAAATACATTATCTAACTGTAGAAAATATTTAAAAAATCATCATATTTCATACATCATCCCCAATTTCTCCTTCATTGTTAACATCTTCACTTCTTAGTTCTATTGGCCCACTGATCTCTTCCTCCTTCATTCGCTTCTGACCAAATTCTGATGGATAAATCTAAAAATTAATAATCCGACGACGTCATACGTAATATAATATTATAGAGTTGAATCTTGTTCATTTTGCTTGCTCTTAAGGACCAGCGCACATGAAAATATTTTATTGAGTCTTTCATTTTAGAAATAAAGGACTCTGATTGGTTGAATCCTTTATGCCGCGTGCATAACGCATAATGCATATTTTTGAATACACAAATTTATTTAAATTACAAAAATGCGACTTTCCCAAATAAAAATATTAATGAATATGTTATTCCCAAATGATTTCTAATCGATTCCGTTCATAATATTTATTAAACATAATTAAGCCCTGCTAACTTGACG